CCCGAACCAAAATGTAGAGCTGCATTCATTAATTTACACATATAATTCATCCCGATGAAACAAATTTTGTCGGACATTTGCATATCCAATGTTTGTACAGACTCTTGACTTCGCCGCTTTCCTCCCTCCCCTTATTCGTTACTTTCGGATGAATAAATCAATTACATTTTATTTATGAGGTAAATACTGAAGAGAAATAATTGTGTTTCAAGTTAACACCATATTTGATAAAACAATAACAAGAAAAGTGGATTTTAGAAGAATACGAACATGTGTTATTTCGTTTCATTTTATTTTAGTTACTTTGGAAATGGAATTTTTATTAATAAAAGGAAAGACACTGCAAATTTCATTTCTGTCAAATTTAATGTCATTTGTGTATAGTAATTAGGTCCCCTAAAACCCTAGTCGCCCTTTAAAAAGAGGAATATATAAGGTATTTCTCCGACTTCTCTAGCGTGCCTTTGTGATGTAACGGTAGCACGCTGGGCCGGTATTCCAGAGGTCCGTGGTTCGATTCCTGCCGAAGGCGGTTGCATATTTTTCATCTTTTCTGCTTCCATTTAACCTAATGACTCTACAAGATTACTAAATTGCTAATCTTCAGCGTGCGATACTCTGTATCGGAAATTCTAAAGATATGCTTATTTCAAAATTATTTTGTAATATTGCTGTTGAATTGAATTTTGTGATTTAAGTGCAAATATATTGCGAAGAATATGATATTTAATAAATAAAAGTAACACAAAACGTTAAAGAAACGCACCTTTGGGCCTAATATAAAATCTGAAAGCTTTAATTTTTTTTTTATCTTAAATTTTTATTAGTCCGAAGTGGATTTGTTCCTGAGGGACTATTGTTTTCGTTTTGCGATTTGACGTCGATTCACTCTGAGTGTCCGTTTTACATTTCAAACCGTTGCTACCAAATGTTAGAATCCTGCATTATATTTGAAGAAATTAAATAATGAAAAATTTGCATAGATGTATGTCTATTTCTCGCATTGTGATAAAACAACGGTACATAGAGCCATCGAATTTTGAATGACGTAATCTTACTGCTAATATGGGCATCTGGAAGTCCAAATTTGAAATTTGGAATTTGTTTTATTATCAATTTTCATATTTTATAAGTTTTTAACGAATTTTCTATTAACAAACTCAAGGATTTCAAAGCGAGCAATGGCAACATTGTACAGAAAAGCATTTTTATCTCCAGCACGCGAGACTGTTTATCGGAAATTCTAAAGATATGCTCAATTTAAAATTATTTTGCGATATTGTTCGTGAACTGAATTTTGTGATTTAAGTGCAGAGAACATGATACTTAATAAATGAAGGAAATACACAAAATGTTAAAAAAACGCCCCCTTTGGACGTAATTTAAAATCTGAAACATTTCGGATTTTTTTTTTACTTATTGAAAAGGTTTGAAATATTGCAAATGAATAAAGTTTCTGAGTTGTTGTTTATTAATGCTTTTACGAATGAAATTATTAAGGAAGTTCAGTGAATAATTAATATGATTCGAGATCCTATGTGCTTTATTCATACTTAATCACATCAAATTGAGGTCATTGTTTAAATTTAACTTCTAAAATTCTCTTCCGGCAAAACTGAAAAAAGCGCGGAGATTGACAGTCGAAAGCATCTATAAATAGCCTTTGGCAAGTGCTGCCGATGCGTGAAACAAAGTACCTTAATTTATCTGTCAAGCGTCATCGTGCGTAAGGCAGAACGTGAGGTCCGCAATTTTCCCTTGAAAGGTAATTAATTTGTTATCAATTAATAAACTGAGTTATTTAAGATAAGTTAACGTATTTCTTAACTAGTTAAATATTTATTCTACTGTTTATAACAATGAATCCAATTTGCAATCTATTATTATAAATCCAATCTATTATTATAAATAATTTATAATAATAGATTTGATTTGTAATAATTCCAACTGCTAACTTTTATAAATATCTACAGATTTTAATGCAAATAATGAAAGATATGTCTAAAGCCATCTATTATGCAAATGATACAGCAGCAGGTTTTAATCTTAACGATATTTTACTGTTTTAAAAATTTTAAATATTGTTTTTATTATCTGAAATTTTGAATTTAAAGCTTCACAGGTGTGTTATAAACCACACGGTGATAGCCTGCTTAGCTATAATATAAATATTTCTTTGAATTTTCATAGCTATTGTACTTTTGTATAAAAAAGTATCTATAAATTAACAGCATACATATAATTTTAACTACAGAACTGATATAAGTAAGTTTTGGGTTTAAAGGTTTATGTATCAAATCGGTTTTGAAGTTAATTGAAAAAAATTTAATTGTAGTTTTCTTTTAAATTTTTTGCTCTCATTTTTAATATGTGAAGTCAGGTTTATCAAACGAAAAAATCGTATTTTTACAATAAAAAATGATCACTTCTGGAGACTATTGATTTTTTAAGGGGTAATATACAGATTGTTAATAAAAAATGTTGAAGCTTCAACGCAAAGCAGATTATTTGTTCAAAATTGTCGTCATTTAGAAGTTTTAAATTATTATTGAGAACCATAGAGAATCATTCTTTTGAGCAGAAAAGAGATCAATTAAATTTTGGAGCGTGCTTGGTTTTCTTTGTTATCCACTTACTTTTATGTTCCTTCCATGGTAGAAAACTCTCATGATGATTTTAAACCAAGCCTATTCTACGGACAGAAAATAAGAAAAAACTAGTTGGTAATAATTGAAAACATATGCACCGTGAAATATGAACGAAATATGAATGACACTGTAAATTATGATTTATGCAAGACATTTTTACTGACAAGTACCCTGCATTTTTGACGGGAGTATTTAGCTTATACTAACAGGGTATGCAGTGGGTTGGTAAGAGAGTAATTTCGGTTTGCCCAAATAAAGAAGAGTTACTTTCGTTTGGTTAAATCTTCCGTAAATATTGCAATTTTTTTCTCTTTTATCAAATTCTTACGTAATTTACTTGATGTTATAAAATTTTCTCTTTTTATAAAATTAATCATTTAAATTCTTTAAATCTTTATGTGAAGTAGAAAATTTCACTAATACTTCAGTAGAAGAATCATATTATAGGTAAACAGTACAAATCTCATCAATAGTTCGCATAAAAAATAGGGGAAATCATATCATAGATAAAAATTACGGTGTTTACATTAGCATTTGCTAATTACGATTTTTATTAGAATATCGATTGAATCAGATAAATTATATCTAGCTAAAATCTTAAAAATGAGTAGGAAAATCTATGTAAGTTGTACTAGCTTATCATATAAGTAAGATATTATTTTGGAAGACTTTCATAAAAATTTGAGTATGGTTTTTGTGTCTACATATTCATATCATATTAACATTATTATCAGCATTAAAACCTTCATTTTGGATTCCTAAAATATTTTTGTACACTTAAATTCACAATCAGTTTCACAACTGATTTAAATCATAATTTTCAGTAAAACTACTTAACTTTTAGTGCCGAAATACATCGTGACTCTTTTTAATTCTATCCTTAAAAAATTAAAATTAGACAAAAATTAAGAAATTCATTTGTATCCTTTTGTGTATTTTTATAAGCAATGTAAGGGTTTAAATCATTTATAATAATAAGCAACGAAAAAAAGGCAATTTTAATGATATTGACTTAGCAAGGAAGGTTTTATAGGTGGAAGTCGTAGATTTTCAGAAGCCCAAAAGTTTGAATTAATGATGTGAATGTCAATCGCTTAAAAGCAGCAAAATACGTTTTAGTGACTTGGTACAATGAGTTACCTAAAATATTATCACGACTTCCGAGAAAGTATATAAATATATTATTACACTTCAGAGAACGCGAGATATTAATCTTAGTCATTTTATTACAGGAAATCCATCATTTTACGTAACGCTTTATACGTAATCATTTATAATTCATAGAATAATAATATTTATTGATATTATATTCTATTTGCTTTAAACACTCATCAAAAGGAAAGCTGTTTTACAGGATGAAACTCATTACTGTATTAGGAACTCGAAAATTTGCTTGTAGGAACTGATTTATTATTTGTTAGCTGAAAGCGACTTTATCACAAATCACTTAAAGTAACAAAATAGTTACGTCTTCCTGCTCGAATATGTCTATCTTTGGTGTAACAGATTGATACCATTTATTCATCTGTATTAAACTGTAATATAATTATGCTTTTATAAACAAAACGAAATTGCTTTTAGAAACCTAAATATTATTCCTTTTTTAAAGATCACGAATCATTTAGTAACATGAAATTCGAATCTATTTTTTATGAATTGCGTTATATAATTGCATTATAAAATCTACCATTTTTTCAATTAACTTTAGATCCTCTTAAAATTTTTATGCTTCCAATGCATCTCGTTAAATCGCAAATTTGCTTTCTGTTCAGTGTGTTAGTTATATATATAGGCAACATGAAAATAACAAACATAACATTACATTACACATCGAAACGGAGATTTATATTTTCTGGATTAAGTTCAGGGATTACTATTTCGTAAACTAATATTAACAGGCAAATGATTTATATTTGTAAGTGAAAACAATCTCATTCTTATACGAAACATTCGTTTACAGGAAAGATAAACAGGATAAAAAGTTTACAGAAAAGATATACATGACGGTATTTGCTTCAAAGATTTGGAATTAAGATTAAATATTATCATAACTTCCTTTTCTCCATTGTCATATATATTCACATTAAGAATTCTCTGCATGAAATGAAAATTATAGTGAGTTATGTAAATAATTCAAAATTATTATTTATTACATTTTTTTCTGATTATGTAAGACCAATTAGGGATTTACGTCTTTATCGTTTGTGCGATACATCCGGGCAACGTCGCTATCGAAATGTAGTTCAAAAACCTCTCCACAGATGGAGGTATAAGTTCGTCTCCGCCGTTGGCACTACTGCGGCCACAGCTACTGGGAGCGACACCTGTTCGGCCGGCCCTTCGCCAAGCGAAACAAGGCCCTTCGATGCAGTGATGGCGAACGGCGAATTTCGACTCGGGAACTCAGCATCTCGCTCGACGATCCCAAACCACTCCTGAAAGCGTCTCAAAAAGACGCGGATTACAAACCTCAAGGCATCCTAACTGTGTAAGGAGCATGCTGGAACCGTGTATCCCAGATAAGTTCCATGGAAGTGGCGTTTGAATGGGCTACTGAGTTTCAGCGCTACTTCTTGCCTTCTAAGAGCTGAGGGCGCTGCGGCGTATAAGCGTAGTGTTTTGTTGGGGAGAAGAGAGAGAGAGAAAAAAATCGTCTGCAAATATGCTTCACGAACATTTTGGATAAACGTTCTACCCCGATTCCGAATCATTGCGAGTTCAAATCGAAGGTGCCCGAGCCCACAGAGGAAAAGGAACTCTAGATGAGATGTTTTTGAAGAAAACATGCCAGCTACTGGCGATCTTTGTATGTCTATGGGCTATCAACAAAGGTAAGACATTTTTAAATTAGTCTCTCTTACAACGAAATAGGACGCCATACCGAATCTCTTAGGAAGATATGTTCCCCCCCATGTTGGTTTTTGTTTGGGATTTTAAAAAACTCACGAACTCCATCTGATGTTTGATTCAGTATACGGATTTCAACCCCATCTGCGGTCATAGAATCAATTAATTACTTCAAAATAGGGTTAGCGTTTTCGTAATTGTAAAATAACTTAGTAGTCATTTATTTGGATGTGTTATCGTTATTTGTGAATGTCTAATATGATTTATTTGTGTACATTTAACCTTTCCTGTTCCGCAGGGGGGGGTGGAGATGCTTCGGTGAATTTAATATAGAAATGTACAAGGGAAGTACTGTTTAGTTCGTTATGATGCCTTTTATATTAATTGCTGTTTTTTTAATTAATTGTATATTAATTACTTTTTGGCTCATGTAAGAAACATCTACGTAAGATTTTTATCTGTGTTAATGAAATATAAAATGAAATTTCTTATGAATATAATTGCATTTGATTATTGTTAAGAGAGGGAAATTTTATTCGTAATATACTATATTATTTTCATCTTTTTATTCGATAGAATGCATACAAATCAAAATCCCAACAATTTTATAACAGAAACCTATTATAATATGCAATATGGTATTTTTACCATATGATTAGATTTTTGGATCAAATAATAAGTTTAATCAATTTTAGTTTGAATTTTTAAATCATTTTTGATGAATGTTGATCGATTATATTAACTGATGACCAGAAATTGTTATTACCATTTGAAACTCAAGGCAAAAAATAATCAAAATAATGATAATTTTCTTAGTCTTTGTTGTTATTAATTTCACAAAATCATTACATTAGTACTGTTACATTATTATTTTATTATTCAGGAATGTAATCATTTTAATGCTTTTATAAACTAAAGACTTAGATTTCTGTGCTACTTTATTAAATGACTGTCCATTTTAAATTAGAGTTTTAACACTGTAGTTGTCTATACTCATTATTTTCCTTACTAAGTGGTAGAATATTTATTTGAAAACATTCTAGGAAAACAAATTGATATTTCGAATTCTACATTTGAAATAGTTATAGAAGAACTTATATCAATGTTTGGACAGATTTTCTATAGAGTTTTACAAGAATTCTTTCATGCTGTTATGTATACATTGCTCAGTAGCTTTACAGATTATTTTGATTTACAATGAAATTTTTATTACTGCATGAAACTATTTTTATAAATTGTGTTATTTTACATTAATTAAAAATTATATAGTTTTCAAGTTGTATAGAAATTGTGTGTATAAAATGTAATATGTTTTTCACAAAAAAATTAAAGAGTATTTTTTTGGGAGGGGGTTCGAATGTTGAATTTCTATCATACTTTTGAAATAACTATTTATTTAAATTAATTCATTTTTAAGTAATGTCGTTTTTAACTAAATTTGGTTTTAATTAATCCCGACATCGTTAGTAAATATTGTTATAATTTCTAACGATGTTGTGAGGTTTTCATAAGTTATTGTTTTAATTATGATTCAATCATAAAACAATTGAAAATACAATATTTCTTATGTTCATTTTTATTTATTTAAAATTATACGCATGAATCACTTTCTATCATCATATTTGTTTACGTTCAGATTCTTTACGCATTAATTATTTTTTTTTATTATGAATATTTTTGGCAACGTCTAATAATACAAAAAAAAAAAAAAAAAAAAAAAAAAAAACCGTCATATTACTAATTTTAAATTTATTTGTTTTCTTTCAAGCCTTTGAATGGGTTGGTTCAAAATTATTTACTCTTTTTGTCTTTAATTACACACATATATATATACATATATAAACCTATAAAGAAGAAATAAAGACTTACAGAACAAAATCCAGCGCTAAAATAGCTGAGTTTATAAAAAGAATTTATTTTAAGTAAATAAATAAGACATCACTACTTTTCAGAACTTTTGAGAAAAAAACTCAGATTTAAATGATTGAATTGGCAAATTGAACATAAATTCAAACCAATAAATGCTAATGAAAATGCCTTTCAGGCGAAAGTTTGAAAAGTAAAGTCAAAAGAAAAAAATTAAATTAAAATGAAAAAATTTATGCCACAACCGGAAACTCTTTCAGTAAAATAACAATTCATTTGCCACATTTATTTACTTTATAAAATTAACCTTTTTCTTCAACAGCACTGGAAAGCATCGATTAATTATATATATATGATACATACACTTTTTTTTAGAAAAGTATTAGAAATATGAATAAATGCTTTAAAACTAGAAAGTCTTTTGCCTTACATTTTGCATGACAGTAATTTCAAGAGATAATTATTTTAAAAATTATTTACCCTTAAACTAATTTTCTTTGATGTCGATAGCCAATGTTTATTAATTGCAATAAGATATTTAATAATGAGCTAGAAAATACGTAACATTATTGATAAGTAGTTTTCGATTTCTATCCAAAAAACATTATTGATATTATTATCATGTATTAATAAATAATGATTTTTTGCACTTGTAATAATATTTGTCTTAATAATAGTGTATTATTTAATACTACAGTAAAAGTAAAATTAATTAATATATCGTGAATGTTATTTTATTTTAAATCGTCTAAAAATTATTACAAAGTAGTTATTTTTTTTTGTAAACGAAAACCAAAATGAGTTAATTGCTGCTACTACTACTACTAATGAGTTAATTACTACTAGATAACTTTTTGTTACTGTTAATCAGTTACAGGAAATATTAAAGTTTAGAATGAAAACTAGGAAAATTTTATAAGTAAAATTGATAGAGAAATTTGCTTCGCATTGATTGATCTGAATTTTGAAAAACTGAGCTAATGATTTCACATGTTAAGGCAATGATTATTATAAATTAACTTAATTTTTATTATTATCATTATGGCACTAAAAACTTATTCTCCAGTATTTCCGTTTATAACTTAAATTTTCCGTTATGTTTTCCAAGTAAACATAAATCAGGTTTACTTCGAAAATAATATCTCATTTTCTTAATGAAAAATTCTAGACGATTCTTCTGCATTAATACGTGATGTACTACATTATGTATAATATTTACATATTTATATTTTAAACTTGTTCATATATCTTCAAAAATATTTAAAAATTATTACTGCTTTAAAGAATCAAAATAAATGTAGTTTAGTTATTGAATTTGAAATCAATCATCTCTACCAATTTTTTGCGGGGGGAGAGAGTGAGGAAAAGTGAATTTTTGAAAAGTGAATAATTAATTTTTCTTAATTATTTTTTATATGTCAATATTTTCAATATGTAAATGTAGTTTTGTCCGCAAACCGGCGCACATTTACGATGCATAAGAACCCTCCCAATATCTTTTGAAAATATTGCTTCTAAAAATGTATTAATGCTTTTCTAATTCAGAAATGACTCATTTTCGAAAGAAATGGAAACGATTCATTTTTTTCATATGTAATATTTTTTAAAATTTAGTCATTAATTCTTAAATTGTGGTACACGATTTAATAGACAAAAAACTTAAATGTGTTTTGTTTTTTAATTTGTAACAAAAAATAAATTTGATTAAGCGTTTTGCGTACTTGTCAAAAGACAAATACCCTGAGTTACGAATTTTTGAAATAAGAATAATCGCTTTGTTTCGGAATACATTTATGTGTAAACAGTATTTTTTCGCAGATGAAAATTAATAAATCTGAGAGAATGAGCACATTAACCGATGAGCATCTACAACTCGTGATAAAGATAGTTTCTAGTAAGTTTTTCCAAGGACACAAACGTTATCAAAATCGAAACGCCATGATGTGTTATAGCTGAAAGTTGTAGTAAAAAGTACAGAAGTTTATAATTATTCACATACAAATAATGAATTTTTTCTGTATGCGTCATAGAAAAACTGAAGAGAGATAATGAGTTGTCATTATCTATTCTGAAGTTTGTTTCGTTTGAAAAGTTCTCGTAATTTGTTCTTTTAATTAAAATAAGTTATTTAGCGATAAATTCAGTATATTAGAATATTTGAAATAATTGAAGAAAGAATATTTGAATTATTTGAAATAAATGTCAGTTCGAAAATTTAATATTTAGTTGTCAATACGTTTGAAGAGAGGTTTCGTAAGACATAAATACTACTCAAGGGTTCCTCAAAGATTATAAAGATTGAAAACGCTCATCTAAAGAATAATAAGTTAAGTAGTTTGCAGTATAATATACCTTGATGGTTATACTGTAAATCAGTGATTTCAACTTGGTGGTTGCGGACAGCATTTAGCCCTCATACCATTTTGAATCATTTATGAAAATTTTCTGCGAATACATAAATTATTTAGAATTATTATGACATTAATTACTATAGTGAAGAATTTGAAAAAAAAAAGCCTTAAGATTTTTAAGGATTTGGCGTGAGTTTTTACATTGAGTAACAAAAAAAGGAAGTAACATAGAGTTCCAAAGCATCTACAAATGGAACTAATTACTTTATATTGAGATATAAATCTTGGTGAAAGATCTGAAGATGCAGATTTGATTCACTTTTATTTTCACTTGTCAAAAGAAACATATTCTCAGTTAAGGTATCCGGCTACGTTCTAATCGTCAATTTTGATGAAAATTTTCAAAAACCTTTTTTTTTTGCTTTATTCTGTAGCTCATACATTAAGCTTCTCAAAACTACTTTTATTTTTGTCTCTCCGATCGTTAGAAGCAGAACTGGAAATTTATGTTTAAGAACCTTAAAGGTGATATTTAAAGGTACACAGACTTGCAAGTCTGTGTACCTTTAAACATCACCTTTCAGTGAAAAGTTTGCAATTTAATTTTTAAGTTTTGCAATTTAATTTTCACGCTTGGCAACATTTTTTTCTTCATTTTGTTTGTGTTTGCATTACATTAAACCGGTTTATGTATAAACTTGATTTTTTTCAACTTTTCTGTTATGAAAAAATTTTAATTTAAAGTATTACTGTAGTAATTTTATGAC